AGCGCCCACACCAGAGCCTTGCAGCTCTTCCTCACTAAGCAACCCCGGAGACCTGGGGCTGGGATCGCGGGGCCAAGAGCCCGCAGCTAAAAGAACAGCTGCCAGCGCCCCGGCCAAGTCATTCCCCACCCGCCTCCCTCTAACTCATCTATTTCGACTGCCCCTTATTAGGGATACGTACAGGGCCTAGCGCAGCGGGGCCCTGATTTCCACTGGGGTCCCAGGTGCTGCTTTAAGTCCCAGGAATAATGAGCAGACCCAGCTCCAAGCCTGAAGCCAAGAGCAGGGGACACACAGGCTGCAGCTGCAGCGTCATTTGGGGAACTCTCCGGCTGCTGCTCAACCCTAGTGTAGACAGGGCCCTGGTGTCCATGCCACATGCTAGCTACCTCGGAGGTGAGATCACCCGTGCTCCATTTACACGAACAATCCCAACACTGCACCTCTTGCCAGAGGGCAATGAGGGGAGATGTCCCAAAAGATGCCAGGGGAGACGGGGGCACAAGCAGCCCAATGCACCCAGCCAAGGCAGGACTGCCGGCTCCCCAGGGCGCTTGGCGAGACAGACGCTCGCCCACCCCAGAATAACCCCAGCCGTGCACCTGCAGAAACATGCGCATGCTCACTCAGGACACGCGCCCCCAGATGCGCCCACGGCTGCGAGCCAGGCAGCGAGGGCCAGACGCTCAGCGGGCATGCAGCTCCCCGGAGTGCAGCACTGCTACAAAGTTTGACACCAGCTGGGCTGCTGGGCCAGCCACCGCGCTCGCCGCGGCAGCAAACACAGCCGTGTGCCCATAGCCGCACGTGTGTGTCCGGACAGCTCCGGGCGCAGACACGGGAAAGCCTGCGTGTTGCTAGCTGGTTTTCACCACCCAGCTTTTCGGGTTGCAACACGACGCCTGGATCACTCGCTTGCCACTGGGGATATGGACATAAAAACACATCTCCCGGCCAAACCAGACGCCGCTTCTGGGCACAGCTTCCCTGCCACTCTCTCCTGCCAGGCTAGGGTGATCAGACAGCAAATGTGAAAAATCGGGATGGGGGTGGGGGATAATAGGAGCCTAGATAAGAAAAAGACCCAAAAATCGGGACTGTCCCTATAAAATCAGGACATCTGGTCACCCTATGCCAGGCGCACACAGCTAGAACGGCTGCAGCTCCCCAAACACCTTCCCAGGCCGGCTTCGCGCCCCCGAGATCAAGGCCGAGTTAGCTTCGGTGTGAGCCCCAGAGCCAGGCACCGCCAACTCCAGGGGGGAAGGCTAGAGAAGCGTCTGCGGCAGATCAGTTGGAATCCAGATCTGGAGCTGGATCACAGCATTGTAACTGGACCGTTAGCCAGTCCGCGAGTCCGTCCTCCCTGTCTGCCCATCTCTCGGGGTGCATTGGAGCTGCAGTCTACCCAGGCCTCTGTTGGGACCTCTCCCGGCATTGCACCCTGGCAGTCTTGGGAGCACGAGTGTAGACAGAACCCTGGTGTGCTTCCCTCCCAGCCATCTAGACCTGCTCCGAGCCGGTTCAGACCACGCGGTGGCCTGCACACCAGGACCTGGTCTCCAGTAGGCTGCCCCTCTGGTGGAGCAACACTGGGAGTGCTCCCCTAAACGCCCGGGCAGATCCCGCCTGTGCGCTGGGGTTGGCACATCATCACACTGGCTGTGCGCGTGGCAGGGGGCAACAGTCTTTAGTCTATGGCTCATGGTAGCGCCTGGGAGCCCAATCTCAGTTGTGGCCCGATTGCCCCAGGGTCTGCACAGCCCCAGAGCAAGAGACAGCCCCTGCCCGTGGAGCTCCCAGTCTAACAGGCCAGACAACGGGAGGATAGTCTCAACTGTGCAGAGGGAAACTGAGGCAGAGAGAAATTAAACTGCTTTGGCCTAGGTCCCATATATCAGAGCTGGGAAGCGAACCTGGATCTCTTGAACCTTAATACCAGCACCGTGGCACATGCCAGCACCTGGCAGAAGTGGCTGGCATCCTACGTACAGCATCTGAGCGCTGCTGCAGCCATTAACCTGGGAAACACACACCCAGCCCCACCCCACTCTGGAGTCCCAGCACAGACACGGATCAGGAGGGAGGACGGCGAGCGCCGGCAGGGGCAGTACCCTTGGCACAGAAAGGACGCCACCCTCGCTGCATAGGCACCCCCTGCACCTCCCAGAATTGGGCCCGCCGTTCCCATGTCAGTCTTGGCATCCCAGGCCATAGGACGCTGTGCAGGACTGCACGTCTCTAACCAGGCAGCCTGGACACTCCAGCCAGGGGGTTTCATTTAACAAAACAATTATTTTTGTTTCTGGCCTTCACGGTTGTGAAGAAAATGAATATGAACCACTCCGGCGCTGCCCTCTTGAGTCGGCACACAGACATGACAGCGTTGATTCTGAAACCTAATGAGGGCCATGTTCCCTCGTTCACCGACACTCATTGAAGCCCTTCCACTGATGCTGTGGGTGGAGTTTAAGCTTGTGGGCGGAGCTTCACACCTGATGCTCCGTACACCCAGCAGTGAGAGCGAGGAGAAACACGGCCCTGTGTCAGAACGGGAAGGGTCTTTTCTTCCTGAGTTTTGCCCTGCTGCGGAAAGAGACAGAACACATCTCATTGCCCCTTGCCACCCGCGCCACGTTTGCCTTGCGTCTTCCACCAAGGAGCCTCTCAGACGCCCGACAGCCAAGCACAGCCTGCCTGGGAAATCGGGAGCTCTCGGGCAGGCAGGGCGGCCGTAGACGCAGGCAGACAAGGGTTGGGGCGGCCCACTGAGGAAGTGGAGCAGCAGAGATAGTTCAGTGAGGGAGTGGCGGGAATCAGAGCCGGGGGCGTCTCAGATGGGGACTGCAGAACCGCGAGTCACCGCCTATGAGCGGAGAGGCCGTTCCAGACCATGGGGTCCGGCTCTTCCGCCCACTCGGGAGAAAGACGGTGGAACTCACTGCCCCAGGAAGTTGCTGCGGCCCGAAACGTCGCAGGTCTCAGAAAGGGATTGGACATTTCTCTGGCTAACCAGCATTATCCCAGTTAATGGTAGGACAACTTTGGGACAGGATATTAAATTCCCTGCTTCCGGGGTGAGCCAATCGCTATTAGAGCCCTAGATCATCTCCCATCTGCTGCTGCGGGGTTCTCACACCTTCCACGATCAGAGACGGGATACGGGGCTAGATGGATCCATTTTGCCGGTGCCTGTGTTCCTAAGGATGTAGGGGGTGGGGAGAAGGCTCTATGGTGGGTTGTGAGCACTGCGGAGAAAGGCAGCGGAGCATCCCGAGGGTGGGCTGGATGGGTCGTTGCTTCCAGGGCCAGCTGAGGGGAGAGGTGGCTGCATTCTGGGGAGACCAGCACCAAGGAGGGATCGGCAGCAACCGAAGTGGAAGAGTCTCGGAGGAGAGCCCAGATAGCGATGGGGACAGACAGTCCCACACCGGGCATTGACCCCAGGCCTGCAGAGCTAATAGCTCAGGAGCTCAAGGGCCTGGCACTGGGGCCTGACCAGAGACGGACCCTGTGTGGAGCAGCACAGGGGGACACAGAACACACCATCCCGTGGGTGACGCCAGCTCCATTCTCTACGTGCTCCAGAGCTAGCATCCGGTGCACCCCCCACGCAGAGCGGGGACCCCAGGAGAGAGACCCGGCTCGGGGCTTTGCCGTACCAGGGTGGCTCAGTGATTCCCGGGCGCTCCGGCCCCCCTCTATGGCCAGGTCCTAGGCTGGGCTTGGGGACAGCATCACCTGCCCTCCTGTCAGCCAACCTAAGGAGATTCCTCCCTTTCTCCCTCTCCACGCAGCATTCAACGGAGCAAGCAGACGGTGGGCGGGACCCTGTTTCGTACCCAGCTCTTCTGTGCAAGTCCCCTCTCCCCCCATGCAAGGATGGATGGCCTTCTCCATCAGCTAGGCCTTACACGGGCCGGTGCGTCGCGATTCGGAACAGACACGGGCCCCGGCACGTCCGAGATGCAGGGGAAACAACGGGAGGAGGAGAAGCCCGCAGCAGACGAGGAACCCGCGGCCTCTCCCAGAAGCGCCAGGAGCAGCAAGCGTCCGAGCAGCAGAGGCAGGTGAAGGAGCAGGATGGGGGCATTGGGAGGCCAGTGGACTGGACTCTTCCCACACGTCACCCCAAATTTACCGGCTGCATCCACTGCATATTTGCAGCACGATGGGTTATGGGCGCACGGACTGACGGGCGCCCGGAATACAAGAAGCTGCCCCACGCACCCGGCCTGCGGCTGCACCCTGCCCAGATGCCCGCGTGTGGTGCAATGCACGTGCCCCCAAAGGAAAGCCGGCACGAGAGCACCGGCAGCGCTCTCCCCAGCGCCCCGGGGACAGCCACAAACCCAGATCAGCCAGGCAAGCTCCCAGCAGCCCCCGGCTCGAGACCAAGCGATCCCCAGCCAGCAGCTGATGCCGAGATCAGGGGCTGAGTATCGGCATCTCCACCAGCTCCAACCGATGGCCATCCGAGCAGCACCGGGACAAGAACCCCTCCGCTCTAGCTGCCGTGAAGAGGGCACACGGGGGAGCTAAGGGAACCAGTTGGAAATGTGTGTGCTTTAAACGCCCAGCGTGAAATCAACAGCAAAAAATCCCACTGACCTCCCCGGGGCCAGGATCTCACCCCGCTTTTAGGGGCCGGAGAGTAGGAAAGATCGTTCACCTGCAAAGCAGCAGCCACGTCTGCACAAGGCGCGCTGGGTGCCCAGGACCCAACGTTTGCTGTGTGTACAAAGGAAAGGCGCCCGGCGCTGGGAACAGGAGGGACGAGCTTTACTTTCCCCCGGGCAGCAGGGAGCAGCCCAGGTCCCCAGCGGCGCTTTGTAACCGGACACTGCAGCCCTGGCGGGACCCCGGAGTGTGTCACCTTGAGTGACAATCCCGACCCAAGCGCAGGAACGAAGCTGAGGAGAGCGGAGAGAGGCTCCCCCGCAACCCGACCGGGACCCACGACACAAGGAAACTTTGCCGCGAAGGGGGCAGCTCCTTACCTTGGCTTCGCATTTCCTGTGACAGGACAACTTGCACCCTGCAAGAGAGAGAAACCAGGTCTCAGTAGGGAGCTCACCTCCCCGGCTCCGAGGGCAGGGAACCGGGCCGGCTTCCTGGGGACAAAGAGGGACTGCCCGGGACAGAAACACCAACCAAAACAAACTCTCCAGGCTGCTGCGGGAAACACAGGCGCAGGCCGGGGCGGAGGAGGGGGAGGCAAGCGAAGCACCTGGCACCTAGCCAAGGATAGCCTTGGCGGCACAGGTACGCCGGAGCGCGCCGGCCCACGGCAGCAGCTCGGCTCCTCGGGAACATACTGAGCACATTGTGCCGAGCTGCCTGCCCCGGGGCTCAGGGTTCGCCTGCCTACCCCTTTTTCTCCCCCCCCCCACCCCCTTCCTCTTTCTTTCGTGACTGCACAGTACACACGGAGCAGGCCCGGCCCGCCCTCTCGCTCCAGGAGTCATGTTCGCTCCAGCAGGAATGTTCAAAATGCGGCCCGGTCCCCTCCTGCTTTTCCTCGCCGGCTGCTCAGATATTGGTGCTGGGGAACAAAAGAGGAGTTTTCGCTGCCTCCTGTCTCGGAGCCAGGATCTCGGCCTCTGCTGAGCCCCTCGCCGCAGACCCAGCCGGGCAGGGCAGAGCCAGGGGGGCGAGCAGAAGGGGGACCCTTCGGAGCACCCCGAGCGTCGGGAGATTTGGGCTGTGGGGTAGAGCGAAAGCAGGGGTGCGCACGGGGTGCCCGTTCTCCATTTGCCGGGCATCCACGAGGCCAGACCCGCCTGGCACGTCAGCACCGCCGGCGCTCTCAGACGGGCCCGGCCTGGATGAGCAGGAGGGCTGGGGTCAGGCCCTGCCTTCGCTCGCGGGATTCCCCTGGGTCCCAGGCTGCCGAGCAGGGCACTGGTTCCGGTTCCGGTTCCAGGGAGGGCCGGGGCTGGGCTAGCAGGGGGGATATCGAGGGGAAGCGGCAGAGCTGGGGTACGGGGCTGGGAGCGACCCGCTGGGCTGGAAAAGCAGGGGGTGTGGATTGGGGCAGCAGAGCAGAGTGAGGGGGACTGCGGATCAGGATGGAGGGAAAGCGATAGAGGTGGGGGAAGGGAAGCCAGGACCCCAGGACAGGACTTGCACCAGACAAGCGACAGCCTGGGCTCGGGCTGCTGCTGGCCACCTCCAGCAACGCGACAGGACCCGTTGGGCCAAACGGGCCAATTTCTCTGAGGGGAGCCCTCCCGGGAGCTCGGCTCTCCAGCTGCTCACTCAGGAGAACCCAGAGATAGGGAGGCAACATGCATCTTCCCGGGGCCCTGCCGGACGGCTTCCTCCGGGGACGCCACCATCCAGTCCTGCTCTGGGAGTGCTGGAGACAGGCCAGGGGGTGCAGCCTGCTAATCCATCACCCCTCTCTCGGGACCTCCAGCTGCCCTGGAGTCCTGCAGGCCAGCCCCCGGCTCTCCTCACCCGGTCACACCCTCCTTCTCTTCTCCCACTGAAGGGTCAGAGATGGAGATGCTCCACTCCCTGTTTAAATGATCACAGGCAGGGAAGGGAACGTCTCTGTTCCTCAGTCCGCCCATCCAGGGGTAGCGAGTTCTATGGGTCCATGGTGCCCATGCTCCAGGAATATTCCGGGCCTGGGGGCCCAGCTCCACCAATGTTTGGAGCCGGGTCTCTCCCCCGGCCCTGCCTGCGGCCCCTACACGCCTCCCCCAGAGAGTCTCCCAGCCCTGCCTGCTGCCTCCGGGTGATTTAAAAGGGCCCGGGGGCCATTGGCCACCGCCACCGGCAGTGCAGTGAGGCTAAGGCAGCTTCCTGCCCGGCCTCGCTCCACGCCACTCCCAGAAGCGGCTGGCACATCCCTGTGGCCCCGGGGGTGTGTTTCTGCGCGCTGCCCGTGCCCCAAGCGCCAACTCCGCAGCTCCCATTGGCCAGGAACTGCGGCCAATGGGAGCTGCGGGGGCAGTGCCTGTGGGCAATGGCGCATGGAGACCCCCACCGGTCCCCCCGCCTAGGAGCCGCTGCCAGAGGGGCGTGTGGGTCGCTTTCGGGAGCCACCCGAGGTAAGAACCGCTCCCCTCCCCCTCTCCCGCACCCCAACCCTCTACCCCAGCCCAGACCCCGCCCCCTGCACCCAAACTCCCTCACAGAGCCCGCACCCGCACCCCAACCCCCTGCTCCAGCCCAGAGCCCGCACCCCAACTCCCTCCCAGAGCCTGCCCCCGTACTCCCTTCTGCACCCCAACCCCCAGCCCAGAGCCTGCACCCCAAACCCCTCCTGCACCCAAACTCCCTCCCAGAGCCTACACCCCCTCCTATACCCCACCTCCTGCCCCAGCCCAGAGCCCGCCCCTAAACTCCCTCCCAGAGCCTTAAGCAGGTGTGAGGGGTGGGCAGGACTTGGACCCGTTCTGGGCACCACCAAAAATAAGACAAACCTGCCGCCCCTGCACCCATCGCTGCCAAGGCCCAGCACAGGCGCTGCCCAACACTGTATCAGAGAAGCCCTGGGTACTTAGATGGTCTCCAATTGCCCATCACCATAGTATCTGGGCGGGGATCCTCCCTATAACTGTGCAGGCAGCATGGCCAGAGCATTGAACTAGAACTCAGGAGACCTAGGTTCGAGTCCCAGCTGTGCGTGACCTTAGTTTCCTGCTCCGTGCCTCAGTTTCCCCACTTTACAGAGGGAAATGACAGGGAGCTCCTGTGAGCGCTACGGCTGAAAAGCGCTAAGTAGGTTATATAGGATTAGATCACCCGGTCTCCGTGTAGCTGCACTGTTGATTGAATAGGCCACATGACGCAACCTGCAAACAGAAGCCCCCGCTGCAATGCTACGCGTTCGATATTTGACACAGTTTCAAGACTCGGCATCAAGAGTGAGAATCGCCTTCCCAGGCTTCCCTTCTCCGCCTCCAGACTGCTCTGAAACTGAGAGAATGTTTGAAAATCCCAGCTCGCCTTTTTCCAGCCCTGGGGCTGTGTAATTTACCTTTCCCTTTTCTTTTTTTTTTTTGCAGCTCACTCAGCTAGGGAGCGTGAAACCAGCCAGGTCAGTTTCCTGCCATTCCTCTCTCTAAGACAGGGCTGCAGGGCTCGCATTACAGAACCACAGAGGGACTCTTGCAGGCCGCTCTGACCTGCATGGAGGTGGTCTAAGAACGGGACCTGCGAACTCCGGAGACCTGCTCCTAGGCAGATCTGCGTGGGAGCAGGCCCTGGAAAGACGTGCTTGGTTTTAGTAGATCAGGGCCTACAGTACGTTGGTTTATTCTCAGGTGGTGACATCTCGGCCCGACTGATGTCAACAGCAAGACGCCAGGCCAGCCATTGTCCCTGCAGAGCCGACGCGGCTCCAGGAGAGCTGGTGTGAGTCCAGCGCCTGGCACCATCACACTAGGGTCTGATGCAGAGTCCAGGAAAATGCTGCCGGTCAGCAGGCAGGAAAACCCCTCAGGTCACATGAGCCACTAAGCACGCCTGGGCCCGGCCCCGCTGTGCCGCTTCCAGGCAGACCGGCACTTTCAGTCCAAAACGCACCCGATTCGCTCCAGTCCGTCCAGCAAAGCGATCCCTGGGAACCCGTCTGTCCCCATTAGGGATCGAACATCCCTCTTGTGCTTTTCCTCGTTCCCACCCAGACGCCAGGCACCGGGGCCCTCGATTCCCACCCAGCACCGGGGCCCTTCATTCCCACCCAGACGCCAGGCACCGGGGCCCTCGGCACAGAGCAGAGGTGCTGCCCAGGAACCAAGGCAGGTCCTAGCCGGATTGAAGCGAACGGCTGGGGCCGGGATGGGGATATTTTAAAGGGCTTCCCTCCCTCCACTGGCCCCATCTAGCTCCTCCGTGGGGAATAAAGCAGAGTGGGATTGCATGGGGCATTCTTCCCTGGCTACACAGCCGTGTCTCCCTGCTAGGCACAGGCCCTGGGTCTCTGCAGCTGGCCTCAGCACATCTAGAGGGAGGAAGGGTGAGGCACGGGACAGGGATCCAGGACTCCTGGGTTCTCTTCCCATCTCTGACTCGGATTTCCTCTGAGGTCTTGGGCAAGTCACGTAACTGTTCTGTGCCTCAGTTTCCCCAGATGTAAAATAGGGGCAGGGCTGTGTCAGAGGCACCTAGAGCTCCTCCCACAAGCCCATTCTCACATGCTTGTGGCCCAATCCAACCAGTTATTGCCGTGCTATTTCTCACAGCACCCTACACTCAGCCCGGCCGATGGCTTATCTGCACAGCCAGCGGGCACAAAGCAGGGCTGGATCCAAGACAGTTCAGCTGGCCCAGTGCAGAGCTGGGAGGTTCAGGGACTGATCCTGCATGGACCTCAGAAGGGGCAGGATCAGGGGGGCCCCGGAGAGATCCCAGAGACCGGCAGCTACCGCGCATTTCCCCAGGGGGCTGTGTCAGTCCCCAGCTCCCTACCCCACGGGGGCACAGGCTGGCATACGGTGGCGACCCCGCCAGGCAGCATTCGAGAATCGCCACGTGCCTGAGCTGAGACAGGCTGCCCACAGCTGGGCACAGACAAAACCGATCGTCAGCTGCTGCCTGGTGCACTCCCAGGAGACCCACCAGCTGGGTAAAATACCCACACGATGGGCCTGGCCTCAGTTGGCAGGAGAGCACCAGCAAACCCAGCACTGGGGGGCTGGCTGTCTCACGGCATTTCCTTTGCAGGGGGACCTCCACGCCCCCGGGGTTTCAGCCCTGTCTTAAGCTGTCTGGCACTCGCACTTCTGAACCCTGCTGCAGATGCCAGCACCGCGTAGGCGCTGCCCGCCAGCCCTTGGCAAGTCCCAGCAAAGCCCCTGGCCAGGTAAAGTTCCCCACCCCCAGGCGTTTACGCTGCAGTTTGCAGCCCTGCCAGAAACAGCATCTGTTCCTTTGATACAACACAGTCATTGTTCCTGGCGGGGAGAGCGGGGGGGGGGGCCTGGCCTGGCCTGGCCAGGATTCAGTACCTTGGCTTTTCTAACCCAGGGAGATCGGTTGAACTAGGCGCTAGTGCAGGACTCCTGGGTTCTCAGCCCTACT